AAAGGCAAAAGCAGTTGAATTTGCCGATATAAAATAGATGCGATAAAATTCTATTTACATATTTCTTTCCTTGCGAAAGTTTTTGTCCGTTTTTATCACACCGCCATGCCGGTCGCATTGTGCGAGGTCAGGTTTTACAGTGGACCAGTTTCCAGTGCCGTGCAGAAGTGTATTTTTAAATCAATTTCGGACTGCCCTTTTTGATTCTTTACAAAATTGTATTTGTAAGGGTCCCCTGTACATTCAGATTTTTTTTTTTTTGGATAAGTTCTGAATCACCCTGAATATAACTAATTCAATAAATTTTGGACACAGTCGTAATAAACGTTATCTAGTACCTACCTAAATGTCCCAGAATATTAAAAAAAAAGTACTATATAGATGTAGATATACATATCTCGATTCATTTGTGACTATTTTTGTTCTAGGCTCGCCCAGTCTTTGTATCTCGGCTTTCTATTAAGTTATTAAATTTTACCTATCTTAATCGTCCTCAAGTGATTCATCGCATTAAATTTCAGTTCAATTCTCTTACGAGTATAAATACCAAAATATACATACGGCTACCCACGTCTGATACGTTCATTGATGCCATTTAGTGCTACCAAATAAACCAAACAGCTCATTTTAAAAACCATGCGGGTGACTCTCACGATCAAAACAGCGATTAACATCTTGGTGATTAGTGGTTGTTGCGGTCTTACCATTCTTAACCATAAGACGGAAGATAACTACAGCGTATGTAACGAAACCTATCCTTGCCTACGAAAATGTTGCCCGGAACATCACGTTCTACAGAAGAATAAATGTGTGTGTTCATCACAGGACGATTTTAATATCGAAATGAATGGTTCTAATATCTTCAACGGGACCGATGTCTCCTTCAACATCATCCACAGCAAGAAATGTGAGGAACATGAAGAATATTTATTGTTGACGCACGATGACTATTACCTTCAGACTAACGGCACCTTGTTCTGGCTGGATCTCGAGAAGCTTGTCACATTCGAACATTTTTGCTTGGAAACGTTTGTTTCTGAGTCACGGAAAGGATTGAGTGCTTATGTATGTTATGAAAAGAAGAAACTATCGAAAAGAGACATAGATTTTCCCCGAATTTACTGTAAGTGCTGTCAGTATTTTAAAAATTATTTAAAATTTATTTTTCTGCTGCCATATTGCGCAATATGTAATTTTTATAAAGTTTTCAGTTTTTCGTGAAATGTGAATTTGTCGGATTCTAAAAATAATTAATAGATTAAATGCTTAAAAGTCGTCAGAATCTGAGGAGAAATATTTACTTTTACGTAAAATGACCGACTTTTGGGAATCCCAAAGATAGATTTCCATAAATATAGGTACCTTAATCTGGTCGAAGATCTACGTCAGTATCCAAATTCAGTACAGAGCGTTAAAAAACAATAAACATTCAATCGTAACTGAATAAAAATGTTACAGAATAAATTTAAAGATCATAATAAAGAGCTTATAATAGAATAAATGTATTTATGAAAGAAACTTCGCAAAAAAGGCTAACAAGAAAATTTTTAGAAACAATTATAATAATATTAATAAAATATGAGAAAACTATAATAATTTATTTAATAATAATTTTCATCAGCTGCTGCTGGTTGACAAATTAGCTTCGTAAAAAATATTACGTACCTATTTGCTAAAGCGTTCATATCCCTTATATCTTATAATATAACTTGATTAGTTTGTCACTACATTGTCGTCTACGTTAGTAATTTATTTCGGTTTGTTTTCTACTTTCCAACGGGAGACAATTAACAACCTTAATTTTATCATATAAGTAAAAAAAGGAAATGGCAAAATACTTTAATAACAGTAAAAATAAATGTATCTATTTGTATACAGTATGTCTCGAAATAATGGAACAAAATTCATATTTTTATTTAAATTTAAAAAAATCGCTGAAACAGGTCAATTAGTAAATAGAAATTGTCACTTTTCTGGAAAATTTTCTATTTTTTTGAGCCATCCCAAGTAGCACAAATATGTTTATAATAGCTTTAAGAATATCTATATAACCACTCTTCCGCAGGTAAAAGCTTTATTAAAAAATGTTGAGAACAGTAATTCAGCATTAAATAAGCATTTATAAATTCAAAATAGGCGTAGCTTATAAAACCATTTTATAAAAGCTGTACATATAATATTTATTCCACTAATTAGTGTTCTGTCGTTGCATTCTTACAGTATTTGTAAAATATACTATACTAAACCTTTATACAGAAAACATTGCCTTATAAAACAAATTTGCTGATATAATTTTCTCCAAAGAAAAGGTTTATACATGTTTTATAAAAGCTATTTTTACCAACTTGAACGCGATGAATGTTGTATTAATGTTTCCAATATACAGTACAACAAAACTTTTTAGCATTATAATTATGCGTTTCTATACTAAATCGTTTTATTAATAATAAAACTGAAAGCTTTACTCAAGAGTTAATGTTTACCAATATACACAATAAAATTAAATATGTATCTAAAAAATAAAAAACTGCTTACAACGAAAATTTTATTAATGTAATACATCATGATACCATTAAAAAAAACAAGCGCCTTTAAAATTAAGCAGATTAGCAATCGTCTGTAGTAATTTTTGAAAAATGATGTCACAATTTTCGATTCAATAAAAAAAATAAAGAATATGTACATAACAAGTTATTAAATATAATTCAATAGACATGCATTAAACTAATTATTTCATGATACATATTTTTTATAAAATTGAATTTATTTTTGACGTAAAATTCTGATGTACAATATGGCTGACAACTTTTACTTTTACCACAGTAGCTATAAATCTGTTATAAAATAATTAAAATTTTAAATATTTTATATAGTATTTTGTAGAGTAATTTGCTGTCTATGCCAGTTTAAAAATTCTGCGTAAACTGCTCCCTGCTACAATTCCAATGGCATCAACAGAACAGATAGTACTTGTATTTTAAAATGTTCTGAAAGAAGTTCTGAAGATTTTGAATGATAAAACGCTTTTAACTAATAGCACTGCTAGTAGAGTTTAGAAGAGACAAATATACGGAGTACTGTCACAAAATCACAGATAATCATGTGAGCAAATCAGCCGCTTATTGGTTACAAACAACGAATACATTCTAGAAGAGACGTGAATGGATGTCTAAAGATGAAATCATTATCAGTTAGTGTTAATTGTAATTTATAATTAATGCAGTTATAATAATCAGTAAACAGTATTACAGCACTTTTAGTGTTGTTGTTTGCAGCACAAAATAATTTTGCAGTCACTGCAAAAGCAACGTATCGTATAAACAAACTCTTTCATCGATTTTAATGAAATTTGGCAGGTTTGTTTGGAATAATAAAGGGCTTATTTGAACGTAATAATATAAATAAAATTAATAATTCCAGTGTTTCCTGAAGGTTAACTAATAATATTCAAGGACATAACGCATAGTAGGTATTTAAATTTTTAAAAACAACATGCAGTTTTATCGCCATAATTGTTGTAATAGTGTATTAACACTAAAACTTTCTAATTCACAGATTTTTTTAAATTACGGACAATATCTTCATATATATTTTTATGCCTTCGAAAGCTTTACTATATAGTAGTTTTATAAGTACAATATATACTGCTTCATCTCTCAAAAATAGCTTTTTAGTTGAGAAGAAACTATACTTAAACTATTCTGCTTACAGCTGTAATAAAACCCTTTTATAGAATCTTTTTAAATCTTGTTGTGATATTATTTAACTTCAAAAGCTAAAATTATTTATAATTTAGTCATATAGTATATTTAAATGATAATATTATACAACATTAATAGTGCAATCAATATACTGTATTAAAGCTTTAAAAATTGACCGATAAGTGTTTATAACATTATAAAAAACCAGGAAGCAGCTATTACACTTTAAACTTTTATAGAAGTTTCATATACCACGTTTAAGAAAGTCTTTATAAAATTGTTGTATAATTTTACTATTAGAATATTCTAACGACTTTTTTATATACCAAAATTGCTATAGGAGCAAATTAACACCTTATTAAGGCATTAAAAATCTAAAAAGATACATTCGTTGCTATTAAAAAACAGTTATATAACTTTAAGCGATGTAAGTAGCATTTGTGTTAGTTGGGATGTTTGACAGATCTATAACATTACCGACATTTTTTTTAATAGGACGCTCTATATTTTATAGTATAAATAGATAGCTATTTTAAAGACAAATTTAGCGATATAAGGTAATACCTACTTTTTTGCCATAGTTATCAAAAAATGGAGGAATTAAATGAAAACAATAATTTAGTACTACTTTTTATTTTATTATTAGTCTATTTCTCTGACAATTTACAAGCATTATTAATTACGGAACTTAAATGTGTCCACGTTACTATTCCCTATCTTTCACCACATACATAATAAAAAAATGTTGGAATTTGTTTTAAATAGCAACAGGATTATAGAAAAATCGTAAAATTTAAATAAACTTTGAAGTATAAAAAGCCGGTACTTGATTACGTCTATTTGCGTGTTATTTTATATTAATTTTATAGCTAGTAAAAGTGTCACCTCTATTTTAGGTGCCTTACACTTTTTTTGTATTAACCGAGTACTGAGACAAATATAGAAATTATACATGCTACAACTGAACTGATTATGCTTTAATTTTTCGGAAGGAAGTTATTTTGATAAAATAGATGACAAAATCACTTTATGTAGTTGTTATCCTTGGGACCTAATCCGGAATCCGCATGACTGTACGTGAAAGTCAACGCATTTGACATTTTATCACTTTTTTTGTCTAATCTTGCACAGATCATTGATACTCACGTATTAATGAAATTATTTTTGTCGTTTTGCTACATATTATGAGTGTACAAGGCGGCTATTTACTAGATCATTGAAACATCGGTTTCGAAACCCAATAGCCTGTCAGTCACAGACGCAGTACGTATCGACAAACAGAATGGTACACACTGTAGCTTACCGCAATGTTTAAAAACACACGGAAAACATCAGTATAATCATAAAAATCTATCACGGAGCATTATCGGCAAAGGAACTAGTTAGAGTAAATTAAGCTTCCGGTGCAGGCAATCTTGTTCGCGTAGTATGGACCATTTAACGATCAATTTGCGAGAATGTTTTCTTTAACGCGTGTCTTGGTGGTTAGCGCCGTTTATACTCAAGTCGCCGCGTTAAATTCTAGTGAAAGTTATGCCACCGTGAATCACAACACTAACGATGACTACAGACTTTGCAATGCCCAGAGTCCTTGTGTCAGGAAATGCTGTCAGGAGCACTACGTCCTGAGAAACAGAAAATGCGTGTACTCCGACGAACACGAATTTAATCTTAAAGTGCATAGAGGTGTCGAAGATGTAAGTGAAACTACTGACGCTACCTTGAACGTTATCCATGACGATAAGTGTTATCAGCAAAGATTAGCGCTGATACCTGCTTTTAACGAGAATCAGGCCTTCTTCTTGCAGACTAATGGATCCCTGTTTAAGCCTTACGACGAACTTAGGGCGATCATTCCTTTCAACCACTTCTGTTTGGAAACTATTATTTTCAGCGAAACGACGCAGCATTTTGCTGCGTTGGTTTGCTATAACGAGACTACTCTGTTGGCCCAGAAGGAAAAGAAGTATTGTTTTGGTATGTAAAATTTATTCCCACGATAGTCTGAATTAAAGTCCGAAATGCATGATTTAATAACAGAGTCGATATAGTACCTTTCAAAATGAATACAGTTTTTTGTACACATTTATTCCATACATTTTCATAAGAAATCTACTCTCTTCTCTACGATTTACACGATTTTCAAGAATTGATTCAACCAAGGCGTTAATTTAACGTATTGTACCAAGACTGCCTTACACTCTAATGCAAAGAAAAATTGTCCTGGAATCATTACATTTGATATAGTATTATTGAAAGCGTCAAGGAAAACTGTAAATCAAATTAGTTCAAGCCATTACATATTAGTTTGAAAAAAGTGAAATAATTTTCTGTAAAACGTTTGGCGCAAAATTTAACTTATATATCAAAACGTCGTTGCTATTTAATAGTGATTACACTGAACAGATTATTTTTGTAAAAAGGGAAAACTTGAGAATGTAATCAACCAAATAAGGACCTTACTTAATGTGGACTGCTTTTATTTTGTAATGCGATGACGTTTTCCCACTGTTACTGAGGCATTTTTTCTTGTAAGCGAACATTATATCCTTTTACGAATTCAATAATCATTCGGAACAGCTATTTTAAAAGGCATTATGGAGATGATTTCATAGAAGAGACTGAAATAATTTTTTAATGAATGGATAAATTGCTTGAATGCAGGTATTAGTAATACCACGCCAGTATGGGTTCTTCGTGGAATTAGGAAATGTATTTCTAATTAACACAGCTCCCCTTATTAAAAGAACACTGGCGTAGAAATTAGGGGTAATCAGAGCCCCTTACGGACGCCTATGATTGATCTGTTTTCACAATAATTTGTGAAATCGATAGAGCTTTTCATTCGTATATTTCATACTAAATATAAAACAAATGACTTTCACAGTTTAAGAATAAATAAAAACCAAAAAAAAAAAATGTTTCTCAAGATCTTATATCTCTAAAAGGAAGCCTTTGAAAGAAAAAGTGTATACTTCAAAATAACATTATTTTGACGAGATCTATCGATGGCTAAAGTTCTAATCATAAAAAGTGAATCACCCTGTTTAACAAAATATTTTCAAATTTAGACAAGGAATCCGAGTTCAATTGTATTTATCATTTTGTTCACTGGAAACTGAAAGGTAGATTTGGGAAAACCAATAAATATATTTTAATTTAATATTTAGGACTACTGAAATATTTTAAATTTATTTTTTTGGGCATTTCTAGTGAGGCTATCTATTGGCAATTACATGTATAGGAAATGTAGATCCTTCACTGATGTACTATCAAAATTTCATGACATTTGGACGAATATAAGCGGAGTTATTGCGTCTGAAGTGACAGTATGTTTGTGTCACGGGTACAAAAATGAGCATCGAACAAAGATCTAATATTAAGTTTTGTTTTACTTTTACCGAAACGTTTCAATTGATGAACCAAATAATGGTGATGATTGTTTATCCCATGAAGCAGCAAATTCTCTACATCTTCTTCAAATTACTTTGTTAGATACTTCCATAAATAACGAACAAATTAAAATAATCCTCATTAGTATAATTTAAACGATCCCCAGGCATTTTTATTTAAATTTTCGGCAAAAACTATTCAGACACAACAATAATTTGACAACTAACTTGACGAATTTCAAGTTATTTCATTTATTTTTGGAGTATTTCTGATCATGGCAAATTTGACAGGACTAATACGAGAGAAACCCCAAAAAAATAGAAAATTGCAAATATCTCTAAAAGTAGTAACGGCAACCCTAACAATGCTTATATGGCTTGAAAGGAAATTTCAATCTGCATACGACAGAGTAAAAAAATACAGGGTGTTCCATTTAAGTTAACAAAGTTATAGCTGTTTGAAGTTATCAAAATGTAACAGCAAAAATGAAGCAACTAGTATTAAATGTTTTAATTTGTTGGTATGCCATATTTTAGTGTTATCTATACCCTTTAGAGGTAGCAAATATTCACTTGATATCAGGCTCCTGAACAGAGTTACTAGCATCGCCGCGGACCCTTTCATCTGTCAAACTTTTTCTTTAAAAATTAATATCTCAAAATCTATAACTCCTAGATAAGTATTATCCAGATATGGAACATAAATTATTACTGTTTACATAAACAATTTATATAAAAAAAATATTTGTAATACACTACATTTACTAAGTATACAATTTTTTAAATTCCTGGAAAAATATCTTATTACTCGTATAAAAGGTGTTCTATCATTCTGCTCTAGACAAAAGGCAAAGCCATATGTTATCCACTTCAACGACAGCATGAACTGTATTCTCTTTCTTAGGTCATATATGTTACCAGGTCATTCTTTGTTTACTTTATCCTCCAGAGCCCTTATAACAAGAACTACATGTGGATGAAATAACATGGTACTTCGTTAATATTGCAAAAAAGTAAAAAATAATTTAGTATTACAAGTAATGTCCATACTATATCTCTAATTTTAAAACAAATCCAAGGCTTCCCAGTTAAATAAAGCAGTTTGCAAAACAGAACAGGCATTTTCAGAAAAACCTTATACTCACGGAAGGAACTGTTAAACCACTGTTCAGATATGCTTTATCTTTATTTAATAACAAGACTATTATTCATGCACGTAGACATTCTTTCAGCAACTAGTAATTATAAAGGATTATAAAGGATATATATAAAATCGTACATAGGCCCAAAGCATCTGAATACTTGCGGATTGCGCTATAGGTATTAGGAACTTAAGAATGATCGTTTTTCTACTTACAATAAATGCCGAGAATACTAGCTGCATTGAGTAGATGTCATTATAATTAATATGTCGATAAGAGCTCTGAATTAATACACAAAATGCCACCACTGACCATCTTAAAATCAGTAGATTATACTGTGTATATGACACAGTCATAATGCTGACGCTCACTAGATTTCGTCCGGTACAGCAAATTGCTATCTAATTCTTATCTTTGCGGTTAACAATAAAATTCTCTTCCATTTAAACCCACTTCCATTTAACAAATGTAGAAAATAGTCCACATTAGTCGTTCTCGTTTTAAAAATGGTTTATCGTGCTCTATATTTATTAACTTTTTTGGTTACCGCCGTTTTTTCCCAACAAGATCGTCCGTGTTATCAACACTTAACTGAAGACATCACAAACGGACAGCGTTTACCAAGCGGAGCTATATTGAAGAACAATGTTACGTACGATAGTGACAACTATTACACAGACAATGGCAGGGTATGGGGTTGTATATGCAATATAAACAATTGTGTTCAATATTGTTGTGATGTCGATGAAGTTTTCGTGAATAAGACATGCATACAGGAAAAAAGTCACAGTGAACTGAACATTAGTGTATACGAAGAAAAAAAAAGGTTGCGCGATTTTTCCTTACGCGAGTTTTCTCTGATTAAAAGTTTGTCATGTCCTAAACTTCACGAACGTATTGCTGCCGAGAAAGGTGACCTCATTTATATACAGGAAAATGGGTCGTTGTATTATGTGTCTGGTGAATATGAAGCTATGTACGATCCTGGACATTACTGCTTAACCAGAGATGCAAGCAACACCTTACTGACTATTCTGTGTGAATTTTATGATGGAGAAATTGAGGAAACGATGAAAATGTATGCAAAAGGTACTAATGCACATTTATTAACCTTAAATAGTACGAGTATATACACCACAGTTATTTGGTAGGTTTTTTGCGCTTCCATAATTTGCTAATTTCTTCAATTTTAGAACTTTGTTTTATATAAAGAGTAACACAATTCGAGACTTTTTTCCAAAAAAAATATTTTTAGCGATTTAAGTTATCAATATTAGGGACAGCATTTTCCCATGCCCTTTATAGTTGCTTACTCATTTTAACACAGTTTTTGTGGTCTTTTGCTCTTTGAAAACAACTTTTTTCTTATATACACCTACTGGATTTTATTTTAAAAAAATAATTGCAATGATATGAAATAAATTACATGAAATTCAACGAAAAGTTTATAACGAATTTGCAGCTATTTCTTTAAAAGAGAAGTTTTACTTTTTTCTAATTGAAGTTCGAATGTGTTGAAATGCAACTGTTTTCTCAAGAGAATGCTGTCAATAATTGACTTCTACTCAACATTTTTCATTTTCCTCCAATATTGGGTTATAACTATTATGTTGTACGATCAGTGCCTTCTGACTAAATATTATTACTTGACTTGACATGACCAATTTCCGGTCTTTGTTTTGCATTAATAGTGGTTTGATATTTCCTCTTCCGGTGACAAGTTTTATAGTAATCCCAGATTATAGTATCTACTTCTTGGTTGATAACACTGTTAAATTAAAGAAATATAATTCTAGCACACTTTTTAAATACATTTAATTAAAGTAGCATGGTTTTTCGAGCTGTTATGTACTAACTTATGCAAATGGTGTTCCAAAAGAAACTTAGGATTTCATGTGAGAAAAACAGATTTTATTGATAAAAATGTTTGCAAAGCTTTTAAAAGTTTTTAACTCTAATTTTTGCCTTTAATTTCTGCCCCTTTTTTAATCTCTGCAACCGACCCTGTTTGTTCAAATTTGGCAATTAATTTTTTCATAGTTATTTCATTCGGGTGTTCCTTTCTACTGAAAATTCCACGTAATTTTCGCACAGTCTCAACTACACACTCTCAGTACTTGTAATGAATTTTCACAATCTTCATTGGCTAATCCGTAATAAAGCGCTACATGCAGTCAATTCTTCGAATTGAATATGGCGCACAATTCTTTTATCACCGTTAATTAGTATCAATAATATTATTACAAACTGACAGTTAGTTGTGAAATAATCTTGACGTTTATTTAAAATTGACTAATCCTTTAGAGTTCTCATACAAATTTTTGAAATAGGTCAATATGAGGTTACTAACTGCCTTTTCCGTTATAGATCGCATCGTCAGGTATGTTTCTATCGTTTTTTCAGCGAAACTTATTCGCGGCGGTGATAGAATATCTTAATCTTA